TCCATATTAAGAATGTCTTTAACTGTTTCAGGAAAAATATAAAATATAATATAATTATTTATTTATTTTTTCCTCATATAAAAATTATTAAAATCGCTATATCATTTTTCCCGTACATTAAACAAAATTTTAAAAATGTTAGCCTCATGTGATTTTTATAACAAAGATTAAAGGAACTGAAATATATGCAAAATATCAGGATTAAGCTTGCAATTTTGTAGAGTTATTATTATTAAATAAAAATATTAGTATATCTTTGATTATAATTAATGATCCTTTGGTCTACATTAAACTATTGTTCAAGAAGTTAAACATTTTCAAGCATCTTCTGCTCTATTTATTATTCTATTCCTCGACATGAAAGATTTGCTAGTCTTATTCCAATTTAATTGTCCACATTTGCTAAATAAAATAAGGCGAGTATTGTACCAAACCCAGTAAGTACACAAATTTAATATACAGCTTATTCCAGTTAAATGGGTAATAGGATTTCATAAAAGAAATTGTGTAAATTAATGTAAGTGTTGATATGAATAAAAATAACAAATTTGATATAAGAAAATAAATAAGTTATTTTGAAGATCTTTAAATTAAGAAAATATAATATTTTGCAAAAATGCACGTAAAGATTTAGCTCACATGTTAAAATTCATAGAAAAATTTTAGCCTCATATATGAATGCCCTTTCTTTCATGTTCGTGGAAAAGGAAAACAAAGTGAAATGCCAAAAATGTACTAAATATTTTGAATTAATAAACTTCATTTTCAATCTTTTTAGACTTCGTATAATATCCGTAAAAGTGACGAATGAAATATACCATAAAGGCAGTAGTTTCTTTCAGAACATTCGGATTTGTATAATATGCGTAAAAGTGACGAATAAAGTATACCGTTATGGCGGTAGTTTTTTTTCAGTACATTCGGATTCGTATAATTTTCGTAAAAATAACGTGTGGAAAATAATGATGAGTCAACTAGCTAAATCTTTACGTGCATTTTTGCAAAATATTATATTTTTTTAATTTAAAGATCTTCAAAATAACTTATTTATTTTCTTATATCAAATTTGTTATTTTTATTCATATCAAAGCTTACATTAATTTACATAACTTCAGCCTTTTTCATTCGTATAAATTTCGTAAAAGTAACGGGCAAAAAATACCATACCCTTCTTTCACCAAAATTTATACGTATATTTTTGAAGACGTGCTGCCTGGGTAGTATTCAAGTGTTTGGAGACTATGCTATGCGGGTAACATAAATTACAAAGTCATTCAAGTAATTCAAAAATGACCACACATATCAGTAGACAGTGACCAGCATTCTGAGGAACCATAAACTACTCCAAAACAAGCAGCTGAGACCACAAACCAAGCAGCTGTTGTTAAAATCGTCAAAAATCTGGTAGTGATGGATCGTTGTTTGACTGTATGAGAAATTGCCAAAGAAGCGAGGATCAGTAAAATTTTCACGCACAATATTTTTCTTGCTAATCTGTGTTACTGTTGGAGCAAATGGAAACGCTTACTTTGCCTTGCCTAATAGATACCGCAACTAATCTTAAATAAAATAAAACTAGGCTGTAAATGTAGCCTTTACATTAAAAACAAAAACAGAGAAAAGAAAACAAGCGAATCTCCTCGCATTTACCATTTTGGCATATATAATACATCGGCCAACCCACCGACACTACGTCATCAGCCAATCAGTGGCAACCACATTAGTTTATCGCCGATTGACCTTTGAACTAATTTGCATGAGGAAAATAACAGAACATTAAGTTAACAGTGGGCCTCTTTTCTTCATGCAAAAAAAAAAAAAAAAAAAAAAAAAAAAACTTAGAAAAAAAATTTATACTTCGGTTCTATAATATGGACACAATACTTATTGTTTTTAATTACTATAAACAGTTAAACAAAACTTTTTTCGAGTTCATAGCAGTTACAGCTTTCATAAATGAGTCCACATTATTTAATTTAGTGGAGATGAATTTGAGGTCAGACAACCCATCATTCACCAACCTTCTTGTTGGTTGTGCATTAGCACTGAAGGCGTATTGAGTAAGTTTCCTCAAGCACAGTTTTCATTAAAGAATCATAAGTCAAAAAATTAACTACGAAATCTTTATTTAATAAAATACGATAATTTTGCTTAACTTAAGCAGAACAAAAAAGTAATAATCTTCACGGACATTAAAACACTGAAGTATTCAAAAGAATAACTTACATAGAATCATCATCAGTCCTAAATAGCAGGCTTACCTATTTTAGGATATAAAGAAAAAAGAAAACAGGAACATACGTTGACATAGTACCTGAAAAGAGAAAGTACTAAACGAATGCACTCCACGCAGCTAAGGTGAAAGTCAAATATACTGCATTGCTCACGAACTTTACTTTCTCTCGCCAATATATATCTTGGCGCACGTTCGTTTGGTATGCCTTTCGAGTTTCATTATGCAAAATACCTAAATTTATGCTAACACTTCTAATAAAGTAATATCGTATGTCAATGTGCTTAGTCCGATGGTTTTTTATTGGGATCTAAAAAATCAGTGGCAGAATTGTTATTGCAAAATAGATTACATTCCTTCAAACTGAACTTCATATTAAAAGACATTTTTCATCCACATCAATTCTTTACTGCTTCCAATAAGGTGATATACTCTGCCTCTATGGTGGATAAAATTACACACTTTTATTTAGAAGTTTTCCAGGTTACTTGTACTTCATCTAAATAAAATATGAATCCACTCATAGACACATGGTCAGCCTTCTTACTTGCATAGTCAGTATCTGAATAACAATACACATTTAAATATTTAATCCTTGATAAGTTTAACTTATATGATTTAGTACTATTGAGATAACCAAGGAATTTCAACAATGCTTCCTAATACCTAATTCTAGGATTTTCCTTAAATTGCAATAAGATACTTACTGCATAGGCGATATAGGAGCCTTATCCTATTAGTTACAAAAATTAAACATTCCAAGTGATTTCTAAAAGGTAATTTTTGCATTTCTGCAAATTCTGCACTTGTAGACAGACAATCTAATTTTGTAAGAACAGTGGCTTTAGATATGAGAAGTGGGTATTTGAAAATGTTTAAATTTTGCAAAAATTTCTGCAATATGTTTTTGCTGATGTATGAAAGTTCCCTTGTCATTTTCTCGAAGTTCAATTCCAAGTAACTTTCTAGTTCTGTCTAATACTTTAAGATCGAAAAACTTATTCTATTGTGAGATTACTTTATCTATACACTGTTGAGCTTTACTAAAAATTACAATATCATCTACATATAGTAAGATGATGACATTAGAGCTTCTACAAAGACAATTAAACCATAGTATTTTCTTAAAATCTAGATTTTCTAAAGTATTTTCAAATTCACAAAATCATTCATAGCTGCTCTGATGCAGACCATAAATTGCCCTGTGAAATAAACTCATTTTATTTTTCTCTTCAATATATCCCTCTGACTGGATCATATATATTTCCTCGTTGAGCTTTGCATATAAATATGCATTTTTCACCTCCAACAGACAGTTAGTCCATCCATGCAAACATACTAGTATTGTGAAAAATATTCTTATGGCAGAAAAATTTACTACAGGACTGTAAATGTCATCAAAATCTTCACCTCTTTTCTGTCTGAACCCCTGTGTGACTAGATGCACTTTATATCTAACTACTTCATTCTTTTCATTTCCTTTTAGCATATGCACACACTTGTTTCCCAGCATAATTTTCTTATCTGGCTTCTCAACTAATTTCCAGACCTTCTTTTTCTTTACCTTGTCAATTTCTTCCCTCACTGCTTTATCCCATTCTTTGGCATGCTTCTTTAAAATTTTGTGGGATAGTAATTTCTACAGAATTTGTGTCTGCAGATCCTCCTTTTCAATAAAATTAACTTTTCCAGAGCATTCATTTTCACCAGTAAAGTCAAACATATCTTCTTTTAATTTAATATTTCTAGCCTCGCAGTATTTTCCAATGTTGTTATGAGACCTAAAACGAGTGTTTGTTCCTTCTATATACTAATATATATCTATATGTGTTCCATCTTACCTCTTAACCGCTTTTCTTTCCCAGTTAAAGTCCAAAACCTCTTTCGGAGTAGATGTATGTTTTAATGACTTAATTCGTTCTGCAGAAGTTTCCTGTTCTTTATACGATTCTGATAACCCCTCCGATTCTTTAGTCTTTTAAACTTAGTTTTTGATTTCTGGCCTAGGATACTATCTTCTGTATTCTATAACACCTAGTTTCCTTGGCATATCCTACCATGATTCCTTCTCTGCATCTCATTTGCAATTTATCTGTTTTGTTTAGGTATGCCAACATAGGCTTTATAACCAAATACTTCAAAATAAACAACACTGGGTTTTTCTATTGAGAAACATTTCATAAGGGGTTCAGTTACTCTTGTGAAACACCCTGTTCCACATATGCACAAAACATCGAAGAGCTTCTGCCCAACATCCTTTTCCCATTTTACTAGCATTAAGCATAGCTTTACTGCATCTAATGCCATATTCAGTTAAATTATTCACAGACACCGTTCTCTTCTGGAGTGTATATGTTTCTATGTTCAACACTAATTTCATTTTCGGCTAAGTACCTTTCGGATTGGCTGTTACAAAATTCACCACCGTTATTGGTGCATATACTAATTTTCTATTTGTTAGTTTTTCCATTTGCCTATGATAGTTCTTAATGTCAGCAAACAATTCATTTTTATTTTTCATACAGTTGTTGTGGTTCAACAATTCAAACCCTTCTGGTATTAATGACATCTTTAGTTACGCATGAGCTAAACCGCTCAAAACAACTTCTAAAAAAATTCAGTTTTCTTTCATAGATAATGGCCCTCTTCCCTTGCATTCCTCCAAAGCTAAGTTGAACTGGGCTCATAACGTGTTGCCGTCAGAACAAAAGAAAATACATACTTTGCTTTGCCTAAATAAATACTGAGACTAATCTAAAAATAATAATATTCTTTATTTCATTACCTTAAATAAATAAATAAATAAAAACTAGGCTGTAACAGTAGCCTTTACTTTACTGTTTTGTCTGATATCTGTGGAGACTTGTGCATCAAGAATGTGTGCAACGGGAGGGCAAACAGTGACAAAAGGGTACTAAACAAATTCTCTGCTAATTTCGTGATGCAGTTCAGCACAAACGATCAGACCTCTGGATGGTGAAAACCTGGCAATTGCATCATGCAATGCTCCAGACCATTCATTGCATTTGATGGATACTTTCCTGGTGAAATATAGAAGTACAGTTGAACAGCAACCTCTTTATTCTTTAGACATGGCTTCTTGTGATTTCTAGTTGTTTCAAAAATTGAGTACGATATTGGAAAGATCCCATTTTGAGATAATGCAGAAAGTGATGGTAGAGATGAATACCATTTCAAAAGAAGCCTTTAAGAAGTGATTTCAGCAGCATGTAAAGCATATATTTTCCCTGGCAAAAGGTCAAAAAATTTTTAAACAACCCTCATATATAAGATATTTAAATACACAGTGGATATTATGTTAACATAGTTAATATGTTTATGACAGAAGTATGCAAACAATTAATTGTCACAGAAATTTCAATACTGATTATGTAACTCTTTAAAGTAATTGAATTTCCTTTATAAAAAGTAAACAATTGTGTTTTTGTTGCAGTATAGGAGTATATGAATATACTTTTGTTATACAGTATAGAAATATTTGAATATAATTTTGTTACAATATAGAAGTATAAAAAAAGAAAATCAATGGGAAATTTTCATAAAACATTTCCCTTTTTTGACAGATGTATGCAAACAATTAAATGTCACAGATATTTCAATATTGATTACATAGCTCTATAAAGCAATTCCCTTCATAAAAAAATTAACAATTTACTGCGTTTTTGTTACAGTAAAAAAGAAAATCAATGGGAAATTTTTATGGAATATTTTTCTTCCTCATAAGAGGAGAGAGGACAAAATATTAAATATTTTCTCATTATTCAGATTAAAACAAATGACAATCAGAAACATTACCAGTGACTCCTTATTCTTGGCATATTTCCAAAATTTACTTTCAACAACAACAGAACGTAGATCTTCATAAATGTTTTGCAATTCAGAATGAAGAATTGTTGTCAAAAAAAGCTTAAGGGCTTGCAGGGTAGCAGATATCACCAATATATATTTGTTTTCAACATCTTCGGCACTTGTTAAACTAAAAATAAAATATAACAACACTAAAATGTGAAAAATGCACAATACATTATTATCTACTACATAGTGCATTTTTTTACAGTTAATGATACAGGAAAGGTGTTTCACAATGTAATGATACAGAAATAGAAAGGGTGTTTGGAAATAGAAAAGAACACAGAAAAGTGGTCACATGCTTTGTTTTAGAATCTGATCCTCAAAATAAGGTGTAAAAATTAACACTTTTGGTTTAAAAGAAAGAATTTTCATAGATACTTACACAGTAAATGATCCAATTTTTAAAATATTTATTATTTTTAATTAAATGAAAAAAGTTTCAGATTTTTGCATACAAATCTCACTGACATACTCAAAAAGATTTACTTCTTTAAAAAAATTTCTAATGCTTATTACTTAATTAAATTCTTGATACCAAAATTAATTTACAGTTCAGCTACAAAACAAAAGCTGCTGCTAATTTTGGTAAATTATAATTGTGTCTTGTACAAAGCCATTCATCATTAATTTGATGAAATGAATTGTACATGCAAAAGTTTGTAAGTTTATAACTTTAATTAATTTTAATAAATTAATCCAAGCCAAAATATTTCATGTGAAAATAGTCTCAAGAAAGCAGAGTCCACACAGGCTGGTTAATCAAATTTAAAAATAGTCATGGTATAAGGCAGTTAAAATTTAAGCTTCAGCTGATAATGAAAGCAGAAAAATCTATAAAATAACCGCTGATTAATAATGAAATGTTATCTCCATAATAAATTTATAAAGTTGACAAAACCAGTATTTTCACCGAACATATTCCTTGAAATATCTTTATGACCTCTTCAGAAAAGCCTCTAGTTAGTGTCAGAGTTTCCAAAGTGAGACTAACTATTTTGGCTTGTGCAAATGAAAATTTCTTGCAAGTGGAAAAAATACATAAATTCAGACATTTAAAAAGATTAAAATTCCCCCCAGCATCTATCATTCAGTTAAAACAGCATGGATGATGTAATACATAAACATTAATTTATGAATGCTTGAAAGTCATTATGTAGCCAAAGCTCAGCAAAATTTGAAATTGCTTAGTTTACCAGATGCATACTTGCCAACCTATGACACTCAAAAATCAGGAGATTTTTTTAAGAAATCAGGAGATTTTTCGAAAGGAGAAATAGTGTTTATGCTTCTCTTCTTAAAATTTAAAAAACGAAATTTCAGATCATTCCATTTTTGAAACTGACAATTCAATTGGCGTATGATTTAATAAATATATAAAAGCTATGTTAAAAAAAGAAGCCTACATAGTAATAAGGCTTAAAAAGTCTACATGAGCTATAATTTCTGAATTTAAAAAAATATAGAGAGAGAGTAACATAAAATGCATACATGTAACAAAACATATGGTAACATAAAATGTCCTCATTTTAAAAGAGCGCCCCCCCCCCCAAAAAAAAGAACACTAAAGTTTAAATGAGCTTTGTTAGAAAGGAAAAATAGTGTTTATGCTTATCTTCTTTAAAATTTAAAAAACAAAATTTCAGATCATTCCATTTTTCAAATTGACAATTCAATTGGGGTATGATTTAATACATAAATAAAAGCAATGTTAAAAAAAAACAGAGGCCCACATAACAATAAAACTTAAAAAGCCTGTATGAACTATAATTTCTGAATTAAAAAAAAATATGGTAACATAAAATGTATACATGCAGAGAAAATTATTATAAATACTAACTTTGTTTCACTCATTGTCTTTGCTGTTTGCTCAAATAAATTATCTTTGAAATACTAAAAACAAAAAAAGTACAATCAGAATATGCACACATTTTATAAGAACATACAGTCATATAATAAAAAAAATACTGGATGTTCCGGAATAAATTGGAAAATCTTTAAGGGGTTATAGAACACACTGAAATAGCACCATAAATTCCTGACCCTTTTTAAAGCAGCTGAACATGCACTGGACAGTGCTTGCCATTTTGCAATATATTCATGTCTCATGTCATTTTTTACAACATATAAACATATGGCACTTTCAGATTCTGGGATAACTTTTATAATCAGCTGATGACTTTTACATTCCACATCTTTTAACTTATAATGAACTGGAGTTCTCTCAAATCTTTATTATTATTTACTAAAGAATCTATATTTTAGTATGCATATTGCTCTCATGGTAGAAAAGTGGTGACACCTACAACCACCAAATTTTGAATACACACAGTCCTTTACCTGAACATGTGTACCTTGAAGCCTAAATTTTGAATTTGTTCTTTATTTTTTCATATTTTGTGTGAACTTAATGAAGTTTTGATTAAAATTTCAGTGATTTAAAAGCTTTATGCTGACATCCTGCAAGGCATATAATATTTATATTTTAAATTTAATCAGAAAACTCAGCAATATGAAAGAAGTGTGTTGCCACTCAAAAAAAGACAATATATTTATCTTTCAAAATTATCAATAAACTTAGCAATTTAAAAGAAATGAGTTGCTGCTGCCTGAATTAAAATATTTCATCTTAATACTGAAGTGTGTTGTCATTCAGCAAAGTGTAAAACATTTAATTTTTCTCTCAAAGTTAGTGTTATTAAATAACTAAATGAATTAAAAGCAATTAACACAGGTTCATTTCAATTATTAGTAATTACTAGCTGGACCCATGAAATTACATTAGCTGGATTCATTAAAATTATATATATATATTTTATGATAACTAGGGTGGATGGTGATTAAAATAACTGTTGGCTAACAAATAATAATCTTACTTATTTATGTCACTCCTCCATAAGGGCTCACTATTGGCCGAGCAGTGTTTAACACTGTTAGTTCAATTCTAGGTGAACGGGTTAGCAAATGGAACCACCTCCAACATCTAACCACTTAACAAATGACCATGCATTCTGGGATAAAAAGTTCTCTTCGATATGCTCTATCCCTCGTAAAAGATTGTTTCTTTGATTTTAAAGTGCTCTGTGTGCGCGTGAAAAATTTTTCAAAAACTTTTAATAAATCTAAATAATTAATTAAATTTAACAGAACATGATCTTGAAATAATAATAAAGGGATTTATATAAATTGCTGCATTGTAAAATATGAACAACAAAAAGCTTATGATTCTAAAAAAGTAGAAACTCTTACAGCAAATATTTCTGTTTTGCAGAACATTAGTGCTTCAGACTGCTTTCCAGAAGGAAAAGTGGCTGTAAATGTTGCTTGTGCTGAAGTGGCTGCAGGAGCATACAGATCACATTGACCTAATAGCCAAACACCCATTATATTTTTCAAATATGGAGCAACTTCTCTTTTTACTTTAAATATAAGCTTTCCATTTGCTTCATGAGTAGCTTCTCTTATGCGCCTGTCAGTATCCTGAAAAAATTACAATAGGAATTTTTGAATTAGGAGTCAATTATTTCTGCAGATTTCATATCATATGAAAATTACATTTATGAAAATACCATTTTAGGAAGTAATTTTATGCAAAAAGCATGATTATATTAACTCTACAGTCATGATTTAACAGGTAAGTAAATTACCTTTTTTCTACAGATTTATAAAGAGAGATTATACAATATGAAGCCAACGGACAGTGTATATAAACATTTTTTTTTTTTTTTTTTATCCCACACCCGTTTGCGGCACTTCTGCCATTAAGCAATGAGCAGCCCAGTAAAATGAAGAAGAATGAAAACAAGCATTAAAAGTAGCTTCAAAAGAGTTGTCAATTATAAACTTTAAAACAATGGGGCAGTTCTTGAGATGAGTGCCATCCATGTCACCCTGATGATATAAACGGCAACAAGCTGAATTCTTGATTCCAATATGACATAAATGCCCTTGTAAATAATCAAGTCCAGTTAGCATTTGAAAACAAGCAACTCCAACAGATCTAGGCAAAGAATTGGGAATTTTATTCTTTTTGTTACGCAGGATACTCCACCTCTTACCCACAGCTGCATCTCTGTATGAAGGCATTCTATTGTTCTTAATTTTATTGTTTACAATCCTTTTAATGCTATGCAAAGGCAGAGGAGAATCAGGCTGAGTCATTAGAGAGCCAGCTTTGGCAAGTCTATCAGCCTGCTCGTCACCAAAAATGCCACAATGGCTCGGAATCCATTGGACAGCGATGTTTTCTCTAGAATTCCTAAGTTCAAAAGGCTTCACTCTACAAGCATGGATACAAGCATGCATTTTCATTCTACAAGCATGCATTTTCATTGTATTTTGAATTCACAAGTGATAATACAGCAGCTTGAGAATCAATGAGAAACACAATATTGGGATCAGGACTGTCTTTCAATTTATCAATTGCAATGATATTGCTGCTATCTTGCCATCCATATTGTCACAGCATTTACCAACAGGAATAGCTAATACTGAAAGTACTTAAATATGCTCCAGCACTGGCATTTTTATAGTGCCTTCTGTGGAACCATCAGTGTACACATGGAGCCAATCATCAGGAGGGTACTTACTACAGTACAAAGTCTTTAATCTGGCCGTCCATAATCCAGCCTCAAACACAAACTTTCGGTGCATGCATGCGTTTACGCATGTGCTAATATGTTATGCATGTCGTTAATGTATAATGGAAGTATAACGAGGATAAAATTAGCTAATTATCTATTTTCATTATGCGATTGTGTTTTTCTTAATCTCTAATAGGATCGGCTTATTTTTTGCAGACTGTATCGCAATTGTATAACGTAGCTTGAACTTTCATTATGTCAAAAAGAGTTTCTGATTCTGGAGCTGCCAAGGATCTACAAGCTAACGCATCTTCTGTCCACAACAAAAGGTGAATTCTGCAAATGGATAAGCCATGAGAAGTGACTAGAGGGTTTATAACGAAAATTCGATTGACAAGTAATTTATTATTTTCGGCACAAATTACAGGAATGAACAGTGAACTTGTAGCTGACAAGAATTATGTCTTTTATAGAATTAAGAGAAAGATTAGCACATAAACGAAGCACTTAAAAACTTACATGAAAGAAATGTTTATAAGTAAAAATAAAATATTACTTTTTTTTTTTTTTTTGTAAATTTTGAATACCATTTAGATCATATTGCTCTTATTTCATAACTATGTTTCATATTTTAATTTTATATTTCTGCATGCCTCTTACAGATTTAATGTATCTAAATCCGGAAAATATCCGAATCGCCAAGTCCCTCGTCCGGATTAAGACTTGACTGTTTATATAGTCAGTCAAACATTTTTTTATTACTTTCTAAGAGAAGCTGTTACTAAATTCAAACGATAAGGTGGGCCACCACATGTTTGATCTAGAACAGAATTTAATTCCTGGGGAAAAACCTGGCGAATGGGTGTAGGAATATCATAGGTATCACAAAGATTGTGATGTAGGAATATCATAGATATCAAAATTATCATAAAGGTTGTCATATAAAAATGTTATACAATCTATACTAAAGACACACAATTAAAGTGTTACTTTAAATTCACCTATTGCAACATCTGTATAAGATAGATCATGGTTCCCAATGGGCAGGCCCGCGCCAAGCCTAATCCGTGCCATCGTGCAAAGCATACAGAGAGCCTTTATGCAGCGATGATATTAAAGGGAAACTGCTTAAAATACTGCTTGATGATATTAAAGGGAAACACTTAAAATGAAGCATTATTAACATAATAATATGAGAAACTAAAAGAATTACATTTTATCTTTCAGTTTGACTAAATGTGCAAACATCTTGTGCTTTGTTAAAACTGACACTCAAACATATTTATTGAAGAATTATACATATATTTACGTTATAAAAAAGTAACACTGCAAGCACAGTGAAATAATAAACTAAATGCTTTACCAAATGCACTCTCTAAAAACCATCGGCGCACCAAGAGAGTTGTTCGATGGAGACAAAAATTGGTGGATACGAAGATTATGTACAGAACAGGAAATGATTAAAATTTCAGAATAATTGAATGAATTATTTCAGAGTTACATAGTTAGAAAATAATGAGCTCAATAAAGTGTTGACCGATCTCTATCCTGGACGCAAGCTGCACTGATAAAGCTCCCGGAGGATCTCCTGTGGTATTTCTTTCCAAATTTGCTCCAGTTATCAGGCTAGGTCATTATCATTCCCTGCGATCATCCCTTCCATCATACCCAACTCTCAATGAGAGAGAGATCTGGCCTCTAATGACGACCAAAGGAGTCCGGCTATCAAGCGAAACGCACCTCAGACCATAACTCCTGGTTGAGGGCTTGTGTGGCATGCAGTTGTGAAAGCAGAATTGGCACGTTGCTCGGGCATCTCCAGACGGGTCTTCGATGATCGTCATACACAGCTGGAAGCGGGATTTATCACTAAAGACTATACTTCCTCAGTCAGCATCATTCCAATCTGATCGAGCCAAGCACCACTGTAATCTGGCTCAACAGCATGCAGGCGTGAGTTGCGGTGTTAACGGTCCGGTACGAGCGTATTTTCGCTCTAATGAGCATCTGTGAATGGTCATGGTGGCACTCTGTGTGGCTCGTGTCTATGTTGATAGCGTGATCAGCACTTTTACAACAATTTGACAACACTCTGTCCTGGAATTCTGGTGTCGTGCCTTAGGTGAAGGAGCGCTACCATAATGAGCTGATCTACCGTTGTCTTCATCTTCCATCATCTCTAATTGCCGCATCACTTTCCTTCGACTCATAGACGAGTGATTCTTCGATTTGACACCTGCCTCTTTCCACTCTGACATTGCTCATATAGCTCGATCCTGCGCAATTCATTTTTTCATTCTCGAAAGGTGGCCTAATTACAATGCAGAGACATTTTACACGTTCAGACTCCCTACGATATATCTACTGGATGCGCAGTTCCCTTGCGCTGGAGATCGCACTATTCATTCATTGGACACCAAATTTTAATCATTTACATATTTGGTCAAAACATTTAAGAATACGGAATTTCAAAGCAATCGGATGATTCCTTCTTGGTGCGTCGAGACTATTCTGTTATAGGATGTATATTCCTTAACACTATTTATTATCTTAAAATTAAAAGCAAATTAAGTTAAGTATCTAACACCAAATAAATTTTGCACCAAATAAATTGTTCGTGTCATTTACAACAAGGTTCAATCTGTGATCACAAAAGGCCACAAAAAATGCTCTAGGTATCTAGGGATATATCCAAAATTCTTTTCTGCACACTGCTGTGTTGTTACTTGGAGTTTCAACTGGCGATGCTACATTTTCTCCAAAAGTTTGCAATAACTGCAAGTTCATGCATAAGATCTATACTACTTATATCGCTTTGATTTTTATCAGTTAATGCTTTTTGCAGTTTTTAACATAAGCTGAGCTGATCTTGTAAATGTATGTAACAAAATATGCATGCGAAGTGTAATAAGGTAGACATTTTCAAAAGTCTGAATCTTAATTTTCTCTATGTTGCAATCATAGACTTTGTGCATTTTTTTTTTTTTTTTTTTTTTTTTTTTTGTGAATTTTTTTGGTGATTGCTTGTTATTATTATTATCCTACATACAAAAAGATAAGTGCAGTTACATATTATGTTAAACATAGGTTAACTTTTTAATTCGGAAAAGCAACAATTTGACCATAATTACTCGAAAACTGTTTACTTCTCATGTTTGAGAGGTCTCCTGCCCTGGTCAAATAAGATACCTTTTGGTCAAATAAGGCAGTGTGCTACGAGGAAAGGGCACTCAGACCTGGCAAGCTTAAGGCTGCCCTAACAAAGTTAAATGCCTCAACCCCTAGAGGCGAACCAAGAGGCCGCTAACCTATCGGGTGACTGGGCACATGCGTAAAGCATACAAAAAAGAAAAGGTTGTTGGTGGCTTTAAGGTCCAGATTTTAGATCATTCTGGATATTGGATGTCCAGATCTCAAACTCTGTACTATATATATATATGAAATATCATGCATATTCAATTTAATAATTTAAAGAAAATGCATATAAACATACCAAAGCTAACTTATTAAATAAACGTGGCCAAAAGGGCAACACATTTTTTACAATATCTTTATCTTTTTCAGCACAGTGATTACCAAACTCTTGTACAGCCTAAAGGGAGAAAAAGTAAATATATAAATTACAAGCATAACATTAAAACAGCATTTTCTCACTTAACTAAAATAAATCATCAAGCAGGTAAACTACTTTTTGCTACAAATGAGTCATTTCATAGTTTAAAAAAAAAACCTCCATTTCATTTATAGAAGAGATGCTATGTCCTGGATATAAAGCCTCTATCTAAAAATTATTTTAGGCCTAAATTATTAAATGTTAAATATGAAGAACTAATAGAGAAATGGAGTAATGTTTTAGTTTATCAAATAGTATTATGTTGCTACATGACTGGTCTAATTTCCTCAATCAACCAATCATTTTCATATATGTTTGTACAATAGATAGAATTGTACATTTAATGGAAATTATTGATACATCTTTAATGCCACATTCAAATAAAAATTTACTTATCCTTGCTGTTAAATCAAGTTATTAGAAATGCTGAAAGCATTGGTTGGAGGTTGGTATATATATATATTTAATTGGTTGATCTTTAGATTATGGTAACTTGGCGACCACTCTCCTACGCACCCTATTTTTTTTCCCCGCCGCCATTTGTCTTCACGAGAAGACTGGTTCGTTCGGTAATCTCTGAACATTCTTCCACATCTACTAGCAGAATTACACTATCTAGAAAGGGACTAACAAAACGGTTAGCATGACAATATTCATGCAAAAATTGGGAAAAAGGCACAATACCACTCCTACGGTTTTCAAATAAACACCTAACCATGTACACGCGACGGTTTTTCTTTAAAAACATCCCAGAGACAACAAATGACAGGCGCACACCTTCACTATTCCTGACACTGCTTTTTTTTCATAAGAGAAAATTCACGAAATACAGACATTTCTGAATCTTAAACCGTAAAAACATATAATATGAAATACCTATCACTAGAAGTAATACCCTTTCCAATAGAACATTTCCACAGATAAATCAGAAATACCAATGGGACCCTAAAATCAGCGATTATATTTAAACATCACCAATGAATTCATACGCAAGCTTACAAATAACTTAGTGTCAATATTTAAAAATTATTTCCATGCACGTTACTTCACTAAAACGATACCATGCGTACACACATAAAATTCACAAATAACTATCATTTAATTAAATTCCTAAGAACCATGTACACGTCGACATTATTTTTACAAAAACAAAACCCAGACTTGCCAAAAATGGCATTGCGCACCCTCTTCACCATTTCCTGTACACACTGCTTTTTTCTCATAAATAGAAAAATTCATGAAATGCATGACAATTTTCTGAGTTTTAAAAAAACCCGTTAAAAGAACATAGATGAAATTACCGAATAACGAAAAAGTAGTACCCTTTCCAAATATTAACATTTCCCGTATAAAATGAATGAATATCCCCAATTTTTACCTCTCAATTATCTCTTAGTTAGAAATGTCACCCACGAATTCATACCGCACACATCACAAATACTTTGTGTCAATGTTCAATGTTTTCCATGCACGTTTACTTCAACTAAAGCGTCTACCAATCCTACAAACATAAAATTCCAATCGCTATCATGATTTAAAATATTATTAAATTCCAAACAACTACTTAAATTATAAATAATCCCTACTTAAATAATAAAAATTAGCTTACAATCCTATTACTTTCAACTAATCATGTGCTAGTAACAATTTCCCAATATGCCAAATTACTTTGACTTCCACCTTCATTTAGAACAATGCTAAAAATAAATATCCCAAATAATTACAAATACTAAATTACCCTAATCTTCTTCAAATATTGCTTACATGGTGGATACACTTTATTATGATTTACACGACTTCATCAAACCACTACCCTTCCTTACACTCTGTTTCACAAAATTCCATTTTCACAATTTCTTGCACCGCCATTCAACTTATCAGTAAATCCTTCCTTCACACAATCATCATTTCATTCCACATTTGGACATTCATACTTATCCACAATTAAACCTACACTCATGGGCAACCATTCATCATTCTTTCTTTTTGAATTTATCACCGAACGCATTAAAATCTAGATTCACTTCAACTCGCCATACAATCCCAAAATTATTCAACACTACTTTCACACACACACAATGAAGCTAATACAAATAATCTACAGCCACAGATATTTTTCCAATTCCCCCCCTTTTCCGATAAATAGTCCTTATTCGTCATTAATATCAACATGACATATCCTCATGATCTCTCCTTTCCCTCACTTAAAATAAGCGTACTCGGAACTGAGTACTGCTCACATTATTACCAAGTCCCATGTTAGAAACCTTATCGCCTCCAACTGTCGCCAAACATTCCATATTCTAAAGATCGCATGATTTATTGACTAACACTGAATATATCCCATTCACTGAGCATTTATTCAATCTAAATCTTTCAAAATTCGCAAGCTTTTGAACCATCTTTAATGAATACAGTCACAAGTCCGTTAATAATCGAACTCGTCCGGACTTCATCCCTTCCGGGATTATCGATTTTTTCCCGGATTATATATCATCAGTTTAAATCTCGTAAGATGGCATCAGAGATTCTAAATTAAAATCATGAAACCGTAATTTATGAAATAAAAACAATTATGAATCTAAAGGGTATCAAATTTGCAAAAGAAAAAGCTTAATATTTGTTTACTTTATTCAACATTCTTTTCAATGTAAGTTGTTGTTTAGTGTTCTTTCGTTCATGTGATAATACTTCTCTTAATCTATTAAACAACATAATTTTCTTGTTCAGAGTTACAAAGTTCCGCTGTTCCAGTCCTATAGTTGCCTGTTCTAGAACACTGACTAATTTGTCAATCGAAATTTTTCGTTTCAATAACCTCTTGTCAACTTTTCTCGCTATTGAAGCGAATTCTTACGAGGAACCTTGTTTTAAAAAATCCTATCAAAGACGAGCAGATCGAGATGAAATACTACTTTGATAAGGATTGAATCAATAAACTAAAAACATCTGCGCTGAAGATCGTATGTGCTGACAGATCAACTTTCAGTTCATTAACGCCCCGCCGCGGCAATCCCACCCTCCGAGCAGCGTGAATTGCGAAACAGATTTCGGATTCAAAAACACATTCTCGCTTTAGATCCTTTACATATTAACAAAATATTATCGGAAATTCTATTTGATATAATTGAAAGTTTTAAGCTTCTTTAATAAAAATTGCTTTACAAGTCTGCCAAAAATAATACGCCGGATCAATTCGAAATTAAGGAACCACGCAATCAGTACATTAACTGAAAAAGATAATTGGGATAATTTAGCTTATACGTCCATTATACATAAAACCGCACGCGAAAACGTATTCTGCACTTGCGCACACTTATGCGCAGCGTAAAGGTCTTAACGCTCACGCCGCAAATGCACGCGCGGGCACACGCGGAGCAGGCGTATTTTTAGTTTTGAGACCATTATAGAAGTTCCGAAGGGGTGTCCGAATTAACGACTTTTGACTGTATAATGAAATTGTTTTAAATAAAAATAAATCACCTGAAGTACACTAGAACTCAGTAGGTAATTCTCTTGAAAGCTACATAAAGAACTGGAATAAAGAATATTCAATCAGAAGTTTTCAATATCAATGTTAAACAAAACATAAACTTCTTACTTCATTCGAAACCAATATTATTTACTTTGGACAAAATCCGGAGTTGATAATGTTTGTACAGATCTTGAAAACAGCTTTAAAAATCTAAATGATTATTAATTTCATGGCATTGCAGTATGGAATAAAACAATTATTTATGGTTAAAGAATTTCATATTATTAATCCATAAATTTATATTTTAAACAGTAAATTTACCAAATTTCCAAAAGGTGGATCATGAATTTTTTGGATGAATAAACCTTTGAATAATCTTACTTATACAAACGGTATATAGGAAGCAAAAATTTGAGATGTTTTGATAGTTTACATTAAGCAATGTACCTTCAATCTAGTCACAACATCTCTTTTAAGCATCTTGCGCATCACCATTCGAAAATCCGAATCTACAGAACTGTTTACTGTGTCAACTGTATGCTGACCAGCCACAGGAACATAGCTTGGAATTTCTTTTTCCAGTGCCTCAAATCCTATAAATCCAGATAACGCTTTTCCACTAGAATTCAACAGCTGAGCAGTATGGCCACTACTAGACGGCTGAAAAAATTAATAAGATCATTTTTAAAATACAGTTAAATGCAAAAAAAAAAAAATAAAAAGATTTACAGTTAAATGCAAAAAAAGGGTAAAAAACAGTTTATTAAATGTCTAATTTTATACATAACTTAACTGCTGTATCTCATTCAGAAACAAACTGTTTTGTAATGAATAAGATTTTATATCTAAAAAACATAGTTAATCCTTTGCGGTTGTATGTCCACTCTCAGCCACCAAAGCCTTTTTACCATTTTGGTCGTATGTCTGCTCTCAGCCACCAAAGCCTTTTTACCGTTCCAGTCGTATGTCTGCCCTCAGCCACCACAGCAAGGAGCTATACGAATCGTACACTGTATGCATTCATGCAACAGTTTACACTTTTCCTATATGAACCCCAACGTCTAAAGAACCTATTAGCGAACCAATACGGTGCTCCAACGATTGGAGATAATGTAATCTAATCTAAACAAAAGTTGTGACCCAGCGCTTGTCATGCAAGATGCAGTGGCGAGTCAGTCGTCTTTTGAATGTAATGAAATCGACAACATTCGACGATACCTTGTAGAATTCCAAAGAATATTTTATAAATTGTATTTAACAGTAATTAGACATTCTCTCTTCTTAAAATATTCCAAAATAATTCCCAAAATTCAGCTAGAAGAGAGAACAGGACACCTATGCCAAATTTTATGTTTGTCCGAAAATTGGTGACAACTGGTAGGTGATTTTCGTGACAGAGCAGATTCGAAACCAGAAAGACCATCGACCTCCGATAAGTGGGACACCCAATGTTTTCATTACTTATAGTAAACATTGGGTGTCCCATTACATTTTCACCTGAACCTGACCTCCGATAAGAAAGACTTCATGGAAAACTGCATATATTGCAGCATTGTGAAAATGTAAAGATTGTAGTGTATGTTCAAACAGAAAGATTAAAGGTGGAAGGCACCAAACCAATTATTTTTTAGATACGTGCACTCGAAAACCTGGCCTACATGTTGGAGAGTGTTTTGAAAAATATCACACGGAGAATTATAAAACATAATTTTTATACAAAAACATATCACTAGATGATTGTGTTGAATAAAGATATACCTAAAGTTCACAAAAGAATTACTAAATCTTGTTTACCCATCGTAAACTTGAGTGTTATGTATCCCTGCTTTATCGACAGAAATTAATTCCAACCAGTACGATACCCATCTCAAAAATTAATCCGACCGTTTAGCAATAATAGAAAAATAAAAATATAAGTTATAAATATAGAACAGGAGGAAAAAATTAGGAATTGGATGATGTGCTAATATTGTTCACAGTTGCACAAACAGTGTTATTGAAAGCACATTCAATGCATATTCAGGAGGTCTGGAGTTCGAATCTTGGCAAGGGCAACTGCAGATTTCTTGTTTTGTGACATCGGGAAAAAAAATTCTTATGATGACTCAGCAGTGGCATTCGAAGTAAAAGGTGGTGGATGATAATTTGTCATTACCAGGATTTGGCAAATTGGTACCCTCATCCCTAGTCACCCGATAAAAGGGGAATATATAAGATGTTTTCACCTTCCTTTCCACATGCCTTCATGGTGTAAATGGAAGCACACTCAAAACGTATTCTGGAGGTCTGGTGTTTGAATCCCGCCAAGGGCACTGCAAATTTTTCACGTCTTCATCATAAAAAATCCTAATGACTCTACAGTATGTAAATGAATTTTTTCATGTAACTAATATAAAAATTACTATAATTAACATTTTTCCATACTCATAGTGACAGTACAGAAAACTAAAAGAAGCTATGTGCTTACAAATGGTCAGCACAATAAAATACATTAATTCAACTACCTGCTCTGCAAAGTTACTTTGATTTTATTCTCTTTCACAAAATAATCACAGACATTCTAAAAATCTACTCAATGAATTATTAGTTTTCATGATGCTCATGGCAGCCTCAAATTAATTAAAGAAACTTTAAAAATTTTGGGAGGGATGAAACGTAAGTCGCAAAAATAATCTAGAAGTATACAAGAGTAATTAACTGGATTCTGAGGTGTGATAAAAATTAAACAATTTGCACATAATTACTTCCTTTCTTTGTAAAATATAAAAGGCACAATTAAAGTTAACAGTTATTCAATGCACCACTGCAGTCCCATATTCCAGTAGCACAGAATCAATGGATGCTTTGCAAAGATTCCCCTTCTCTGCAGATGTTGAACAGATTGACACAGATTGTTATGCAACAAATCCTAGTTTTTCCCCTTGATATTGCTCTGCAATCTGCTTTGCACACAACAACCCTATCCTCTTTCTGTAATGATGAGGCTAGTGCAACAGTTTGTCCATTCTTCCTGCCAAAGCAATAAGATTCAACATTCATATCATCATATCTCTATTTTGTCCAATACCAGCATTCATTTCTATGAGCCACATTTCTTCTTGTATCAAACTCAGAAACTTTTCTTTGGGGGGTGCACACTGAACATTCCCATGCAAATGAATGGCCCAAAAAAAAAAAAAAAAAAAAAAAAAAAATTTAAAAATAGTATAAAGAACCTATTATCTTTTTTTACAGTACTTCTAAGTGGTGTTACTGGAACATAAGATTTGCATATGTGGTGTTACATGTGGTGATCTGCACTTCTATTCTATTATGGAACAAATTTTCAAGCATACTGGATGATAGTTATTAATAATCAGGCAGAACAGTTTATGCATACCAAAGTTCTTTCCACAGATGTTCAATTTACTAATTTTTTGCTTCTAGAAAAACTGAATAAAAGCCCTGTTATAAATCCCAAGATTTTATGCTTTCCCCAAAATTCACAAAATTGGAATTCCTTTTCGACCTATAGTTTCCAATTTAGGAACGGCATCCTACCCTTTGGCCAAATATTTAGTTTCCATATTTTCTCCTTTATTTTCCAACAATATTCACACCGTAAAAAATTCTCTCGAAGTCATCAATAAGCTTAAAGATACTTCTCTCTTGCACTCCATTATGGTTTTCGTTTGATGTTAAATCGCTGTTTACTAACATTCCAGTCGAAGGTGGACTAAAATGCCTTGAAACTAGACTTCGAGAATTCTATTTCTCACATACTGAAATTGGAGTTAATTTCCCTCACTAAAGTCTCTGTGAGTCAAACTCACTTTGTTTTCCAAAATGAATATTATTGCCAAATTGAAGGACTAGCTATGGGTAATCCCCTCAGTCCTGTACTTACTGACATTTACATGCACTATTTTGAGGGCAAATCATTTGAAAAACTATCTTTTCGTCTGTGGATTCGCTAGTAGATAACACTTTCCCTCTTTGGTAAAATCCTAGTATACGGTGCAGCTTTGGCGCGACTTTGAAAATTATCGCCAACACCAAAAATGATCCAAAAAACGTCTATATATATACTATACACACATAGTATATATACTATATACTATGTTTAACTACATATTTTCTTTGAATGACCCGTTAACTACTCATCTTAAAGTAGCCAAATCCTGTGTGCACCGGATACTAGGATTAAACCCACTCTTTTTGATGGTGATAAGGAAGACTTAGCCCAGAATTTATTTGTTATAAATTCGATTGATCTAGTCATCCAGTTCACTTTTGAGATTGAATCTGATAACTGCCCTGATAATACACTTCCCTTCCTTGATATTCTTATAATACGCAATGGATCTAATTTCAGCACAACTGTTTACCGTAAACCCTTTCCTGCTTGTTCACCTCCCCATGCACTGAATACTGAAACACTGAATTGATTATTCCTAAAAATGAATTTATATTATATATTAGCAGTTCGGTTTTAACTTTCAAGAGGTCAAATGCTGAAAAAACGTTTGAGGCTAATGAAATAAGAACCTTATCCTCGCCTCCTGGATAACACTGCAATGGAATTTTAAATATCTAGTAATGAAATCTGTTAGAACTTATTCAGATATTTGATCGTGTTTCTGTGGAAAAACATTAAGTTTTGTTTTACAGTCAACACTATGGATTAATTAATTAAGTTGATATAATTCTCCTGCATCAAAAAGGGGTCAGAAAAAAGAAAAAGACTCTTTTTTAAATTTTATTTTTGAGGCGGGTTCTTTTGAAGAACTTTAGCTCTTCAGTATAAAAAAGTCATGTCACCCGTCTAAGCAAAAGATGCCTTCTTTTTACTATTACGTATTCATAATAGCATACGGCTAAAAATATCCAATAACTATAAATGAGAAATGCAAATTATGAAATTCCAGTATCGCAATATGTGGTATAGAATTAACGTACTTTTACAAAAACAAAAGTTAAACATTTTCTTACAAAAGGCATACAGTCATAGCTAGAACTATAGAATTAGCTTAGTAAGAAAGAAGTATAAATTTCAAATATTTACTCTGGTATTTCCTTTAGTTCGTTGGCCTTTATTAGTTTTTCCCATATTTAGCTAGATTGGTAACTAACGGCAGGAAAAATTATCAGCAAATTCCTTCACTCAAAAGTTTTACCCACTAACACTCGACTCCTCAATTTCCGTATCGTAAAAGACACATTGCATAAACGTTCTATCATATGTTAAAGGAAAATAACAAAACAATGATGCCAAGATGCAGAACCAAAGAGATAGATTAATTAATGAGGAAAAGGAACAAAGGCAAACATTCCTTTATATTTTCTTTTAAATGGCGCCGGTCGAAGTACTTTTAAACGTAGAAATTAATGATAAAGATTTAGAAACTGAATACTGGACACGATGCATTTCTTGTAAGAAGGTTAGTTTATTTGGAATACATTAAATCTGCCACTAAAGGGCTAAGAACGGAATGAGGACAAATATTAAATTTACCCAATTAGAATTCCTTTCAAATAGCGCCCGTCCGAAAGTACTTTTAAATGTAGAAATCAGTAAGAAAGATTTAGAAGCTGAACGCTGGACACGAAGCATTTATTGTACGAAAGTTAATTTATTTGGAATGCATTAGATTTGCAGTCAAATGGAAGGGAGGCCTTCGTGGATTATTTTCCAAGGAAAACTGGGTGGTATTCAGGTCAAATACGTGAAAAATTACAAAAAATATCAATGCAGCCAGCCAATGAGCTAACCCGTTGACTTGGGTTGGGATTCATGTTGAACTACCCGTATTCACCGGTTTTAACCATGCGGTCAGCGTTGGGGCTCATTGTAACACAAACTACAATATTAATGTTGTCTATAGCAGTTAGTAAAACACTGAATTGATTATTCCTAAAAATGAATTTATATTATATATTAGCAGTTCGGTTTTAACTTTCAAGAGGTCAAATGCTGAAAAAACGTTTGAGGCTAATGAAATAAGAACCTTATCCTCGCCTCCTGGATAACACTGCAATGGAATTTTAAATATCTAGTAATGAAATCTGTTAGAACTTATTCAGATATTTGATCGTGTTTCTGTGGAAAAACATTAAGTTTTGTTTTACAGTCAACACTATGGATTAATTAATTAAGTTGATATAATTCTCCTGCATCAAAAAGGGGTCAGAAAAAAGAAAAAGACTCTTTTTTAAATTTTATTTTTGAGGCGGGTTCTTTTGAAGAACTTTAGCTCTTCAGTATAAAAAAGCCACACGTATAGTTTAAATTAAACTTTTCATATTTGGCAGTAAGGCTGGTATCAACAAATGACGATTTGATTTTGATGATGCTTCGTTAGCGAATATGTGTATACCATTGCATTTCTGTTTCTTACTTGAATTTACAAGATGAAGATTGCATTTCTGCATCCTGATTTAGGTATAGGTGGAGCGGAGCGGCTAGTAGTAGATGCTGCTTTGGCTTTGAAATCTAAAGGGCATGAAATTCGTATATTTACTGCACATCATGATCCCGAACATTGTTTTGCCGAAACTAAAGATGGATCTCTTAATGCAGTTGTTGTAGGAGACTGGTTACCTAGGAGTATTTTAAGTAGATTTATAGCTCTGTGTTCATATTTTCGTATGATATATGCGGCTTTCTATCTGATATTTTTTAGTAACTATCGTCCTGACATCGTGATATGTGATCAAGTGTCAGCATGCATTCCAATTTTGAAATGGAAAGGAGCAAGAGTTATTTTTTATTGTCATTTCCCTGATAAACTACTGACAGAGCGGAAGAACTGGATCAAAAAATTATATCGTTTACCATTAGACTGGTTAGAGGAGAAAACTACAGGAATGGCAGATACCATTCTCGTGAACAGTAATTTCACAGGTATTCAAAATCATTGTAATTCTCAAATGATTTTTTTTTTTTAATATGTTGTTAAATACTTGGTTGATCTTTACAATATGGTAACTGGTAGTTTGGCGACATTTTGGAGGCGATAAAGGTTACTACCTGGCACTTTGATAATAATGTGAGCAGTACTCAGTTCCGATTACGCATTATTTTGTGTGAGGGAAATGACAGATCATGGGATATGTCATGTGATATTAATGGACGAATTACGGTTCTTTAATCGGAAAAGGGGGGAAATCGGGAAAAAATCTGGAAATTTTGTATGTGGCTTTATTCTGTGTTGTGTGAAACAGTGTTCGTGAATTTTTGGGATCCCATGGCCGTAACTAAAGTGAATTCGGAATGGGTATTTATGTATGTATTAATTTAATGTATGTGCTCATTTATATTTTAAGTAGTGTTTTTGAATTTAATTATATTTTAATTAAATGATAGCTATTTTGTGAATTTTATGTTTGTAGGAATTTGGTATACGTTTCAGTTGAAGTTGAAGTAAACGTGCATGAAAAATATGCATGAAATTTAAATATCTGACAATAAGTATTTGTAATGGTTCCGGTATGAATTCGTTGGTGAGGTGTATAATGTAATAGATGATTTAGAGGTAAAAGTTTTTGGATATTTTATTTATTTTATATGTGGAAATGTTCATATTTGGAAAGGGTAAATACTTTTTCGCGATCAGGTAATTTCATATGTGTTCTTTTTAACGGGTTTAATGATTGAGAAAATTGTCATGTATTTTCGTAAAAATTTTTCTGTCAGACGTACCAAGATGTTCAAAAAGTTGGACGCTTTCGAATATACTATCAGTATACTTCAAAGAATTTAGGTGTTCAAAGAGAAAACAGTTGGACGTGTACACCAGCAAATACCATCAATTGAGCTTGTGTTAGCAGAAAAGACAAAAATGATATCATTGCAGATTAAAGTGAAGAGCGACTGGTTTTAGTCTATATGGTTGTAGAAATTTAAATTCGTTATAGAACATCATATCGTATCATAAATGGAGAATCCCATAATTTTCTCAGTCGAATTATTTGAAGATTCAGGAGTTTATCCAGTATTTTGTATGTGGATGTCACCTAAAGGCGTTTCTTTTTCCCTCCTGATGAAACAGCGGCCGGGCGGTAAAGTCACTGAACACTGGTAGTTCGGTCCGAGGTTCGAATCCCGCGAACGGGCTGGCTGCATGGGCGTTTTCGTGGTTTCCCCCATGTGTAACGTATATACGAGCCAGTTTCCCTTAGAAAGTCCTCCACGAAGGCATCCCTTCCCTTAGGCAGATAGCCCTAGTGTGCTTTGTCATAATTAAATAAACCAAAACCTCTTGATGAAACCAGTCTTTCCTTTCATCTCATACCTTCAAAATGTTTAGTCTCTAAAGACTGATAAAACTCTAACGAAATACTTCGTGAAGAACTTTCTAAGGGAAACCAGCTGTCATACACGGTACACATGAGAAAATCCACGAAAACGCCCATGCAACCAGCCCATTTAGCGGGATTCGAACCCCGGAGTGAACTACCAGTGTTCAGCGACTTTACCGCTTGGCTGTTTGTTGGCCTTTATGAAATGGAAGGCGATAACTTTATTTAAAATAATTGTCAGAAGTACCAAAATGATTCGAAAAGTTGGATGCTTTTTTAATATACTTGCAGAATGCCTAATGAAAAAGAGCAAGAATAAAGTAGAATGCCTGAAGAAAAAGAGAAGAAAAAATAAATTTTTGCGTAAAATTTAGTATTTGATTTTTTTTAATTTAAAACCTTTTAATCTTATGATATTTTATTCTTGCGATTTCAAAAATAAAATATTTGACTAAAAAATGAATAACATTGTAAGAAACCAAATGTAGGATAAAATTGTGTAAAGCAATGGGCACAATGATAAACTGTTTTAAGCAGTGTATGCAAGTCATCCTAAGTTAAAATGTCGTTTATATATCTCTTTTCTGAACGGAACATTGAAAGGCGTGTTAACTTTGCTTTACTGTATTTTCTCTTTTAATATATGCAGTTTTCAAACGCATCGTAGTCTGGGTTACAAAGTATTCCTCCGAAAGAAACGCAATTCAAATAAATAAAATCAAATTCTGGAAAATTTATATTAATAAATATATTTAAAATGCTCAATTCGAAGGAATAAGTAGAAAATTTTAAAACAATTATCTGAAGAGACAATGCAACACAAACAATTAAAATAAAAGTATAAGAATTTAAAAATTACCTAAAATAATAACTATGACAAAAAATATATATAAAGAAAACTATTTGAAAAAAAATAAACGCTGCACCTTTATTTACGCAGTTCGAATAGGTAAATAGAAATTTTTAAAACAGTTATTTGAAAAAAATATGCAACTTAAACAATTAAAATGAAATTCGAAAAAGAAAAAATTACTTAAGATAATAAGTTATAATTAAAAGTATAATATAAAGAATATTATTTGGAAAAAAGGAACGATGGTGACTTTTTTTCGTCTCACAGGAAAGGAAAGTAGGTTGCTATATATTAAGAAGTTCGCCAAGTGAACTATTCTTGGCGCAAACTGACAAAAAAGTGCCAACATAAATTTGTGAATTTCTCCGTAAATTTCGCTCCAAATTTTACAAAATTTCATATTTAGGTGTAATTTGAGTCGTAGAATCGAAATATGTAAAAAAATTGGTATGTTATTTTAGAAGAAGTCCGATTTTGTGTCAAAATACCTATGTTAGAATAGTGTTATATATAAATCTAATATATAGCCTAAGTCGCGCTTTCGAGACATGAAGAATGCAATTTGAATGTTGTCAATCAGCCCAGTAGATTGAGAGATATAGGACTATCCCTTTTTTTTTTTTTTTTTTTTTTTTTTTTTTTTTTTTTTTTTGAGCAGTGTACATCCTATCTTTGGCAAGGGTTTACGGAAAAAGAACTTTAAACCTTTGCCATATGCCATCATAGATCAGAATAAGCTATATTTCCATACTTTTATTTTTAATAAAAGAAAGGGTTATTAATTAGTTTATAAATTGTAATGTTCAATTTTCTTGAGGCAGTTTAAGACTCTTAAAAAAAGGCCAAGCACAGCAATGATTATCAGTCAGAATCAGGGATTAACCCCAAGTGGCATGACTGCCTTTATCCAGTCATAAGATTTTTAATCTCTTGATATATATTATATTATAATTTAAATTTGTTGCTTTTTTATTTTCTTTAGTAATGTAAGTATTCTTAATGAATGAAAGTTTATGAAAACATAGATTAAAACAAGTAATAACAGAAATTCAGCTAATCAGAGCTGTTTAAATACAAATCTTCATTAGCAGATCCACAAAACTATGCCACTCAAAGGATGTGGAAATTTTTTTGATTATTTATAGATGGTGACGCATCATGCGTTAAATGTGACATGCATTTTCCCCATACTTCCCTGCGTATCTCATTTTTATAGTTTAGTTTAATTTTAGATTCCAACTGAGTAAGAACAGTTAAGTTCCCTTAAGTGATTTATTTCTTTGATTGTAGCGATGTTTTGATTATTCTTCAGGGTAAACTACTAATCAATGTAATTAAAAATTATGTAAATATTAAACATCATCTTCATATTAACTATCCAATATCAAGCTTCATAATTTGAAATTTGAATATTGTGATGCATTAGGCCTTCAAGTTTGGATTAGCACATAACAGGTGTGTGAAGTTTTGTGCTAAAAGACAGCAAAGGGAAAGCCAAGTTTTCCTGTTTTTTTTAAGTACAAGAGTGATGGAAGATCCTGTGGTTAAATTAAAATCAAAATGGAAGGTATTAAAGGTTACAAAAACCTATGATATTAAGAAAATCAAGGCAGAGTTAAAGTAAAGAGGATGTTAGTTAAAGTGTACTAGAAGAAAATTTATATCAGGTTATGAAATGAAAACTCTGAAGTGATTTAGAGACTCAAATAGAGCATGATTGGAAAGTTCAAGTGAATGAATTTGAAACTTAAGTTACATGACTAAAGTTAAGACTGAAGAAAAAATAAGAAGGTATTAAATAAATTCATATATTCAGACGATGAAAATACGGGTATTCTTAATGAAACAGCTAAAGATTCTAAAAATGAAAGTAATAAATTTACTCATCTTCTAAAATTAACTGTCTCTAAATTTAAAAGTGTTAGCACCCAGTGGACAAGTTTTTGAAACTTTCAAAATTGCAATCTAAGATAATGAATCTTTAACAAAAATCAAAAAAATTCAACTACTTAAAACCATACTTTAGGCAGCAACATTGCAAACATGATAGAGGATTTTTGAATTTTGGGATCAAATTATGATGAAGTGGTTGAAGTACTTGAAAACAGTTTTGTCAAGAAAGATATCATCATAAATTAACATATGTAGAAACACTAAATCTCACCCTAGTAAATAAATCCACAGATGCTTTAAAACTTTGTTAGTAGTTATTGCAATACTCGTATACCAAATACCAGTATTTCATCCTATTTCTTGAAAAACCGGTATTTTCAGTGTTAGCTGTAAGTAACAAATATTTTGTTTTATCATTGTTAATGAGTTTAACTTATTGGGCATCTACTGTTATTTGAAGTATGTATTTTCATCACTGTAGCAGTACCAACATCAATCATTTGCTGTCTCACTGCCATTTCAATTTCCTCTTCTTATCTGGATAATATCAAGATCAAGTATGAAGCATGTATGAAACCTAGCCTCAGATAATGTGGCTCGGCTCAACAAACCAGTTGGAATGTTCACACTGTGATTTCTTGGCCAGCACCTCGTAGTAACCTTGTAGTTATTGTTACATGATGATCTTCAAGCTTATCACTTATCCTGAACAAATTCTAACTTACTAAAAATGATACTATTAAACCAAAGACATCACAAATCACAGATTTTCTAATAGAGATGAAGTTTTATCTAGAATGACAACATTAGATGGTTTGCCATCCAGAGTGCTTCGGACTTCAGCTGTCATTAATTAGAAGAGATTTCGAAAATATACCAATATCTGTTAATGCTATAAGAACTGTTATAAACTTCTTGTATAATAACAACAGTTGCAGTTCTCTGGAAGAAGAATTAACAGAATTAAAATTAAATGGTACAAAATTTAGTCTCACATTTGATGAGTAAGCAAGTGTACAAAGTAGATGTGACTTGACTATAAATAATCATTCACAAAAGAAAATTTGGAATATAGCACTCACACGTGTCTCGAGAAATATCCCAGCAACAAAATGTGTAGAAGTAGTCAACTGCAAATTGAAGGAATGGGAATTATCTCTGAAAGAAGATATTATCTGTGTAGCTACAGATGGAGTAGTGATGAAGAAAAAAATTTGGGAAGTTGATTGATGCAAAGCAGGAATTGTGCTATGCTCATGAAATTCAGCTTGAAGTTATCAGTGTGCTGTATCAGCAAAATCAGAGCATGAGAAGCAAAATACTCTGGATATAGAATTTTCTGATTCTAACTTCAAAGAGAGAGTGACAATGGAGAAAATAATAAATAATAATAATTGTAAAAAGTACCTCATTTGGATTAAGGACAAGATATTTTGTCCTTCAAGGATTCAAGGACTTATGAAGGATTGTTTCGTATAATTAAGAAAATTTGTAAAGTTGTTAAGATATTTAAATGTTCCCCTACTAAAAATGCCGTTTTACAAAAATCTGTACTTACTTTTCAGTAAGTATAGGTTTTTGAAAAAAGAATTTATGCTAATATTAGATTCTAAAATGTGCTGAAAAAGTTTGCTCTTAATGATGGAATGATTTTTGAAAATAAAATATCCAATTCTGAAAGCATTAATTGACAACTAATTTTTTTCCAACTTTATTTTAATATCTAAAACTGTATTAGCTTTGCTTTCAATAAAGCTGGCTGTAAAGGCATTATGTCAGAAAGATTCCAACTCATTAATAGCAGATTCAACAATAAATTTTATGTTGCAATCACTTAAAGATCAGAACATACCACTATCTGAGGAATTATACAGTGCATTAAAAATTTGCATATAGGAAAGGCATAGTGAACTAGAAAATATTTTAAGATATTTACATAATTATAATGACTCTAAAAAGAAAGCTGTAAGGAAGAAAAGAGACTAACAAGGTCAAATGTAATCAAGTTCATCATAAAATTCCACAAAAACATTTACGAAAAGCAAGCACAAACCCATCTGGAGGATATGTTGATTTTAATATTTGAAAAGAATTGTCTCTCATGCAAAAATTCCAGTAAGGTATAAATAATAAAATTGCTACAAACAATAATGCAAAAGTAATACAAAAAATAGATTTATCCAAAACTGTCACATTTAAGATCGATTTGTTAGAAGATAAGGACTTCAAAGCAAATATTTATAAGAAGTATATGTCTCATTAATAACAGTACCACCAACCATGCCTATTCCATGCCATGAGAGTCATCTTAAGTTTGTTGCTCACCAGATGTTGCTATTTGTTTTTATTTTGTCGAAAATTTTTGAAAAGGAATTTTGTTAATCTCAAAATGGTATGATGTTTTAGCTGTATATGTTATTTATTATTCAAGTTAGAAAAATTCTCTTGCAAAAATATTGCTGTTCATTTTATCAAATGTATGTTAAAAATTGCTAAGGCCATAATGCTATGTGAGTTGTAAATTTATGAATTCAGAATAATATTATCTGTTTTGTTATAGGAATATTAATTTAATTATTTATTAAATTGTTTATAAAATAAATTAAAAATTTTTGTTTATCTTTTAGCCAAAGTGTTTCGACAGACATTTCCCAGTTTAAAACATGTAAAATTGGAAGTAGTTTATCCAACCATCAATGTGAACAGTATACTCCGTCCTCTTCCTAATAGCGATTTGGAAGTTAAAACAGATGCAACCACAATTTTCCTATCTTTGAATAGATATGAGAGGAAGAAGAATATATCTTTAGCAATTGATGCAATGAGTAAGTAATTAATTTTGTTTAATACAATATAAAGTCCAAAATCTGGTCGTTAATACCGACCTCCATATTACCAGCAAAAGAATAGATAAAACTTTAAAATATCTAAAATTTTTGGTTCTCCCCCCCCCCAGTACAAAGGCCAGGGATGGGAAATATAATATTTAAGAAAACGCTGGAGTGTCATAAAAATGATTTTTCTCCCAATTAATTGAAATTCCAGCTTGTCGCTTTCAAACACATACTGGTTAGGGAATCGGGACATAGCCCTTGACGATACTTTGATTGACACTGATGATGACCACACTTCTAGCTCTTGAGCGGTTGTTGTGCCAGGGAGATGGTACAGTTTTTCTATTTGTCTTAAACAGTAAGTGAAGTCCCAAGACATATTTGTCTGGAGTGTGTTGTTGCTTGCACTGGTTTTCGCTTATTGGCATAGCAGCCGAGAAGGAAAAAGGATTTCGAGAAACTTAAGTGCAATGTAGTATAATATAGCAAAGTGCACTCTTCTTTAATTTTCTAATTTGATCTAGCTTATTACTGTTTGCAGACCCTTATTATTGTAGCTGTCTTATCAAAGTTTGAATATAAAGTATATCAAAGAGTTCCTAATTCTTCAAGCTGTAGCAGCATCTGCCATGTGAAAGCATATTTCAGTGACAAACAAACAAAGGATAGATAAGACATATGCTTTTCATAATATGTAAGGAGTATGGCAAGTGGAAATCAACAGTATATAACATAAAAAATGAAAAAAATAATCTTTTTTTTTTTATTATTTTGGCATTTTATTGCAAACTAAGCATGGTCAGTATTTGGGTAGGTGACCCAACTGGCAATGAATAACAGAAAAATCATTCATTATGCAAAAAATTATGATTGAGTAGGTGAGATATCATTGCAATGATGCCGTGCCATTGACACATTAAATGCAATGATTCAAACAAAAATATTTCATGAAGAAATGAAGGTAGAAACTGAGTGCATGTATTTAACCAATGGTTAATGATTCCAAATTGAGACTAACAATTTTGGTATGTGCAAATGCTGCTGGAATGCACAAATGTAAAATTTTCATAATTGGAAAAAATAAAGGACCCTGATCATTTAAAAGAGTAAAGATTTTTTCCATCATGTATTGTTCAAATAAAAGAGCATGGATGACACTAACATTAATGAATTGGTTTGAAATCGTTTTCATGCCTGAAGCTTGGCAACATGTGAAATTTGTTGGTTTGCTAGATGATACAAAATCTATCCTGATTATGAAAACTTTGGCTCATATTTCAATTAAAATTTTAGTGTAAGATAACACCTCCATATTGTTCTTTCATCCAAATTTTACATCCAGCATTCGGTGGATAATGGAGTGCTGTAGGCACTGAAATGTAAATATAAAGTAGGATTTTTTAAATCAGTACTTAATTTCCTAAACAATGACGGGACCGTTTAAGAATTAAAAAATGTTTTAACATAAAATCTGTAGTGTGAATAATGACAAAACCACTGGGGGGTTAATGTCTGCAGATATTTTTCTAAATGCTTGTCGTAATTTATGGCAAACAACCAAATGTTAAATGATAAAAATGCTGATAATCATGAATTTGAACGTTTTCGGATATCATAAGCAAAAGGCAAAATTTTCCAATTAATGGACTTTGAGAAGAAGTAATAATTTAAATGAAGATGATGTAATAAGTTTTCCATTGTGATCACAATGCCTCAAACATTTACTTAAGAGACAATGAAACTGTAATATGGCCTTAAATCAGAAAATATCGCTACCTTTGCAAGTCAACAAAAATTTATGTGTCTCTGTAAAATTAAAGAAATATTAGCACAGAAAGTGAAGCAGCTTAAATTGAAATACATGTTTAATAGAACAAATTAATATTAAGAGTGGTTTTATTTTTAGTTTGATTCTCTTATGGCCATAAATGCTTTTTGATAAACAACTATTTCATTTTATAATTTCTGCATATTATGTTACCAGGTTTAAAATGATGATCTAAAATCCAGAAATATCCGGAATCCCAGAAGTCTGGACAGTTTCAGATCTCAGACTTTTTGCCGTATATTATTTTTATCTGCCGTGTAAAAATGCAAAACTAAGTTTGAATCAACTATCTGGTCATTTTTCCATAGTTAGATTTTTCAAATTAGCTTCCTGAACTCTTCATATATAAATTTAGTATGTCATGTACATATAGATTTATTTCTTATAAGTGTACATACAGATGGAGAACAAAATAATGCAAACACATGTGAAAAAGTATGACATTTCACAGCTTCAGTACAGCCGCGCCACGTGCAACAGAAGTCTGCCACCTAGTGAGCGTGAAGAGGAAGGTATCGGTCTCTCAACAGTAGTCACCTGTGTTGCATGCTTCAATTGAACTGTCTGTGACAAATTGAAATGTCAGACCTGTCAGAGTTCCAAAGAGGAATGATAGTTGGAGCATGTTTAAGTGAAGCATCGGTTATGGAAACAGCAAACCTTGTGGGGTGGGCAAGGAGTATGGTATCAGCCATTATGACAGTGTACACGAAGAAGGTAAGACCACGTCTTCAAGGCACAGCAGTGGCCGAAAGTCAAAGCTGGCTGATAGAGAGAGACGGGTCTTGAAGCGCGTAGTAGCCCGAAAGCACAAGCAATCTTTATCCGAGATAACATCCGAAATGAAAAGTCATCTCCAAGACCCCATTTCAACAAAAACTGTCAAAAGGGAACTTCATGCTGCAAACATTTATTGCAGATTGGCAATTCGTAGACCCTTGGTGACAGCAACTAATGCTTTCAAGTAACGCCAATGGTGCAGAGATCACAAAGGCTGACCCCCACAGCAGTGGCAACAGGTAATATGGTCAGATGAATCGCCATTCACCCTATTTCAGACGACCGAATGCATTTATGTCTGAAGAACCCCCAAAGAAGCATTTTATCCGGACTGCCTCTTGCCGATTGTGAAGCATCGGGATGGCGCTATTATGGTATGGAGTGCGATATCATGGCGCAGTCTTGGGCCACTTATTATTCTGCATGGGAAGATCACATTCAATCACTATCTAAGCATTCTAGGGTATCATGTCCAGACTGTTCCCTGGGGAGTGACCGCTTTTTTCAAGACAACACCCCTTGTTGCAACTCAACTCTTGCTGAGATCCGATGGCTGAATGACGTCATCTCGAACTATGAACTCTCACTTAGAGATTGCACGAGAACTCGGAACTGAGAAGTCCCACGCTGCATCGTGCCACATTTAAACACTTTTCAATATGTAAATATTCTGTAACCTGTTTGCGTCTTCATTAAATATGTTTTTGTGTAAAGAAAGTAATTTATGGATTATTCCCTTCAAGATTTTGCAGATAGAGATGCACAGAAGAAATCCATTTCAACGAGTGGCCCTGGCAGAACCCATTGAGACAAGGTAAGCAGTTTTGTTTTACCTTGAATAATTAGTTAGAAATAACGATAACGATAGGAAAATAAATAATAATATTGTGGCGCCATAACATGGGGCCATTGGGTTGAATTTGAACTGAATTGATTAATAGATTTTGCTTTAAGCATAAAGACATGGATTTAGAAAAATTAAAAAAGAAATGATCTGCTATAAGAGCAGTAGTTATGAGGCTGATAAATAAGATAGAACAGAAATTGCTAATAAGGGGGATAAAAATGTAATTGAAGAAACGGTTGCTCAGTTAATTAGTAAAGAAGAAGAACTAATCTTGGCGGATAATGGTATTGAAACTTTAATTGATGTGACAAATTTAGAAGATGAGATAATGTCTAGAGAAGAGTATAAAAGTAAAATTATTGTTTGGAAATTACGCGCGAAAAGATATTTAGATATTAATCCACATAGCGCTAATTCTACTTCATGTGGAACTGTCACTGAATCGCAAAACAAAAATAAACTCCCGAAATTGTCCCTGGAAAACTTTTCGGGAAAGGATGTGTGCAGTTGGCCCGGGTTTTGGGCGCGATTTGAGACAGCTGTACACGAAAACGAAAGTCTACATGCAGTAGATAAATTTAAGTACTTAAAGTCAATTCTTACTTCCGATGCAGAAACTGCAATACAAGGGTTGACATTAACAGCGGAGAATTACGAGAAGGCTGTGAAAATATTAAAAGATCGCTTCGGACGCAAGGAACTAATAATAGATACCCACATGAACAATTTATTAACTTCTACTCCAGTTAAAAGGTCTTGCGATGTGACAGCACTTCGAAAATTATATGATCGTTGTGAAGGGTTAGAATCGTGTAATATTTTACCAGATTCATACAGTACTTTATTGTATCTGATATTAATAAAGGTGATTCCGAATGATTTAGCACTAGAATTTATTAGGAAATATGAAGATGATAAACAGACAAAAATTACAAATTTGCTAAATTTTTTTAAGAAAAGAAATAGAAAGTTGAGAATGTACAGGAATTTTAGTTAAGCCAACAGATTCTGAAGTCACTGAAAAGAAATCCCATTTTGAAAATAAGCGGCAGTTTCAAGAATGTTTTCGAGACAGCGAAAGATATCGGGATTGTAATAAGGGTAGAATTCCTTCAGTGGCAGCATTAAACACATCACTATCTAATAGCTGTTTATTCTGTTCTGAAAATCATATGTCAGAATCATGTCAGAAGACTGGGCCAGAAAAAAAAAGGAAGCGTTAAAGCGAAGAGCAATTTGTTTCGTGTGTCTCAAAAGCTATCCCTTAGCCAGAAACTTCAAATCGAAACTAACTTGTGGTATTTGCGATCGATGACATCATACATTGATACATTCTGACGAAATGAACACGTCAGACAAGACAAGAGACTCCTCTGTTTCCGATTGTGCAACAGCAAGTAACTCATTTCTTCTGACAGTACAAACTGAAATTATAAACACAGACAGAAGGCGCCAGCAAAGCGTTCGCGCCTTGTTTGATTCAGGATCGCTGTGAACATTTATTAGGGAGGACATCTGTAAGAAATTAAAACTTCA